CAAGAGCAGCTGGAAGCCACAGAGAACTGTTTGCACTGCTTTCAGCTGCATCCACATCACTACCATTCCTGGCCCCTAAACCTTTTAGTTTATCTGTTTTCCTGTCCCACTTTCTGATCTGTTAGTTTTGGAGAATGCCTTGTTCTAAGAGGATAGATTTGCAGTGGTCTGTGCAGCAAGACTTCCCTTTTTTTCCTTGTAATTGTCTTTTTACTGCTGTTTGCATTTCTTTCTTGTTTGACTACAGGCTCAGTTCCAGATAATTCGCCTCAAACTGATTTTTCTTTTCTACACTGGTGCACCAGGTTTTGTAATGTGAATACAATTTTCAGTAATTTCCTCAAAAAAATACACAGTAGAATATATTTAATTAACTCTCTTGTACCTTTTGCATTAAAGCTGTATATAAAATGGGCAGTTTTCATTGGCTTGACTCCCAGTAGTGTATCCCTCATCTTCGTGGTCTCTCTCATCTTTCTTGAGGTCTTTAAAATTGCATCTCAAAATTATATGCTTGTTTCAGAGACATCAGTCTGCTACAGAAAGTGATGAAGTGTTCTCAAGTGGGTCTATTGACAGACCCCATGAATCTGTACAGATCCTCCTACAGAGTTGTGTTGACTGGAAAATAACAGCAGTAAATAAGCATATGTACTTGGCTGTCATATGGGTACAGTGAGAGCGACTCTTATTCCATTTTGGAACTCCAACAGGTTAAATATCTGATGCTGTATGCTGCCAAGACACCAGGTGAAGGAGAGTTTTGAATAGGGCAGAAGAGCTGCTCTATAGCATCAGACAAGACCGACCTCCTGAGGTTAAGCCATAAGCCAATGCTTGTGAATATCACGGGATATCTTTTAAGTAATTGCAGTAATAAAACCCAGAGGAAAGAGCATCTTCTGTCATCTGAAAAATGTTTTAGAATCTCAGCTCTGAGACTGTTAACTGCAAAGCAGAGTGCTTCTTTGGAGCATGGAAAGCTGCTGAGTATAGCAAGATAGATATTCCTCAAGAGTGTAATTGCAGTGTTCATTGGTACATGGGGCAGATTTGCCCAAAAAGCTTTGGACTGCATGCTGATTTTTTTTTTTTTTCACACTAGAATGTATTTAGAGTTCCAAACAGATCACACTCATGTAGTCATGGGGTTTTTTTCAGCTGCATTCTTGTGATACCACCTTCTTCATTCTTTCAAGGAAAATGTACTGTTGGGATACATTGCTTCCTCCTCTCTTCCAAAGGCTTGAAATACATATGGTTCCAAGCAAGGACCTTGTCATGCTGTGACGGCCCAAGTAGGGCAACCCAGGGAGATTCAGATTAGACCCCCTTGCTTTCTAAACTCCTTTGTCTCAGACGTTGCCCTTCCAGGGAGAATGATTAAAATATCATGGAATTGCTCGACCATTTGATACCCTTTGATGAGATTAAGGTGAAACGACACTCAAGGTCTGTATTTACATATTAGGTTTAATTAAAACTATAGAAGGAATATGAACACTGCAATTACTATCTTAGGCTGCACGATCATTTATATCACATGAGTACAATACGTATATGTTTAAGCTGCACAACCTGAGAAAAAAAATTATAGTTTGGCCTTGCATTACTTAATGATGCTAGGAAGGGAGAGAGAGTAGGAGAAGAAAGTTTATAGAGACAGAGATAATAGAAAATCACCAGTCCTGGATCCAGCGTTACGCCTGCTAACAGGGGAGAGAGTTGGTGTCAGTGGGGCTCCCCAAGCCCACCATTGCAGCACCCTGTTTTATAGGCAGTTTCCTTTTTTTGAAAGGATGAGCAAGTGTGTTTGAGTCATAAGCCTGAGCAGCTGGAGCAGACCTCCTCTGCCCCCTCTCAATTGCTGTACCTGCAGGCCGAAGGCCATATGCAGGCCATCAGCTTTGTTTCCATCCTCTCAGGCAGTCCTTTTGGGATGCAAATGACACTTCATGTTTATGGGTTACAATGGGGTTTTGATACCAATTCCAGCAAGTATAGGTCCTGAGAATTGGTCCCTCACACATGCCCAGGTGTCACTGCTGCTTATTTCCATTCTGTTGTCATTATTGGGACTTACTAGTTGTCCTAAGAGATGACTTTGCAGTTCTGAGAGGCACTGGCACACCTGTGAAAGCCTTGCAGGCAATAAAGATATCCCCCTCTCTGCACCCAGCTGCTTCTTGTCTACTGAAAACTCCTGCCTGTAAGATTGGATGCTGTTTTGGTGCTGGCAGCTAAACCACATCTTTGCTGAAGTAAATCTGTTGCTGCTACGGATCTAGATATTTTTTCAGAGCAGGAGAGATTTCTGTGGAGGAATACTTCCCTCAGTATTCATACCCTCCCAAGGTAGGCATTGTTTCAGCTTGCTTTCTCAAGCATGGGTATTGGAAATTGTGAGAGCCCCATGTGAATAAGGATAAATGAATATATCAAAACTGGTCTGGTATGGCTTTCTGAAGCAATGCTAATGTGTGTATGAGTTGCATTTTAAAAAGGAAAGAAAAAGTGAAATGTCTTATTTGGTTTTTTTTTTCTTTGTGCAGTACCTGAACAGATTATTAGAGAAACCACATTTCAATATGAGAAGCATAAAATCCACTGCAGCTTTGAGGAGGCTGACTTTCCTCAGCAGATTTTGAGATGTAGAACTGCATATAGTTCAGCAGTATCTCAGTGATCATTTGCTTTGGGAGAGCAGCTTCCTCATGTTAATTTTGTGTACAATGTTGGCTACACCGGAGTTAATTTGCTTTGTAATAGCTCCTGTCTGCTATGTTTCTGATTTGTGGTGAAAAAAGTATCGATGGTACACCAGTGTCTTAGTTACTGCTGACCAGAGCTGGTACACCACCAAGGCTTTTTCCATTTCAGAAGCTGCCCTGCCAGTCAGTAGGCTGGGTTTGCACAAGGGGATGGGAGGGGACACTGCTGGGCTAGCTGACCCCAACTAACCAAAGAGATATCCCTGTACCATATGACATTGTGCACAGCAGTAAAAGCTGGGGAAGGATGATATAGGGAGATACTTGTATTGATGGTGTTTGTCTTCCCAAGTCATAGTTGTATATCATGGAGCCCTGGAGATGGCTGAACAGCTGCCTGTGATGGGAAGCAGTGAATGAATTCCTTGGGTTTTTTGTTGCTTTTGTGCACAGCTTTTGCTTTATCTAATAAACTACCTTCATCTCAACCCACGAGTTGTCTCAATTCCACCTTTCTGATTGTTTTTCCTATCCAACCCTGGGGGAAGTGAGCAAACAGCTGGGTGGTGCTTAGCTGCCTACTGAGGTTAAACTGTGACATTTAGCAGCAGCCCTACTGGAGTGTTAAATGCTGCAGTGTTATAACAGTACTTAAGGAAAGGATCCAGGATAAAATTCTTAGATAACTTGCTTTAGACTCTGAGATCAGCAAAGGGCAATTAACTTTGTCTTGCTACTCATTTCTTTCTACTTTATCTAGTTGGCCACTGAGGAGAGCCAGTTGTGGATTTTGTCTTGTTAGCCATAGAATATGCTGGCAAGAGAACCTTATGCAAAGAAAATACAGTCACATGTTGGTATCTGTTTCAGGGAACAGTATTCTTAACCCATAATGGGCAAAATGGATTGTGCTTACTTGATGAGGACATTACTGGCAGCTTGTCACAGTTTTTTTGACATCATAGAATCATGGATAGGCATGGAAAAACTAAAAGTCAGGTTTCATGAGCAAAGCTTTTTTCACTAGTGTCTTTTCAGGCTTGCATGTTATCATAGGTTTTTCATAAGGTCATCAGTTATTCAAGAGATTGGACACATGCAAAGAGTAAGTGATCATGTATAAACTAGTCAGAGCTCAAAAACAGCTTAACAAGATGCTCTACTTAGTCATTTTCATGACAACTGAAGCATATCACCCAGATACATGTGGAGATAAAGTTTATCAAGGTGTAGTTAAAAAAATTCTCAGATCTATTAAGGTGATTTTTTTTTTTTTCAGTTGTGAAGGAAAATAATTTATTTAAGAGAGTTGTAGGATGATAGTGTGTTCTGTTGAGCTGCAGTAGGAGCCATTCTTATAACAGAAGTCTTTTTCTCTCAGCAGAATTATTTTGTTAATAGTCTACACCAGGTTACTCATATAGTGTCTGTACACTGGATATTAAATTTAAAATTGGAGTTTAGATAACATGTTTTCTTCCAAATCTCTTCTTTCCTCTTCCAACCCACAATTTTTATTTGATCACATAGAATTGATGAAACCAAGGATGATCTTTTGCAACAGATAAAAAAAATCTAATTATATAACTTCTTATTATATAAAAATAAAAACTAATATGACATCATTTCAAGTTACTGAAATAGGGATGCATATGAAATATGCTTCCATATAAATATTATCATTTTGTTGATGAGTACATTATTACTTAATCAAATAATACTTGCATTTGAGTAAGGGGGAGCAGATTGCCAATGTCATCAGAAAGGGGCCCATAAAAGAAAGAGGCAGATAAGAATACTGCTAGTTCTGTAGAAGTAATTGGGTTACCATGTGTTTCTGCTGCTGTCTACTTCTAGGTTTTTTGTGTGATTAGTAGTTGTAGCTTACTGAGTGATTCAATTGCAGTGCCTCTATGCCAAAAGAGACCTGCATTTTGAGCAGCCTTATAGCACTTATGTAGGAAGATACCTTTTTAAAAATACATTTTAAAATTAATGTATGTTTAGTCTGCAAATGTACTGTATTAATTGTCAAAATATAGTCAGAATACTTCAAAATTTAACCTTGGTAGTGAACTCTGGGGTTTTAAAGCTGGTTTCCTGACTCAATTTTAGGTGTTTAATATATTAATTTTCAGCTTTACCTATGAAAGGATATGGACTACTGAAGACAAACTGGCATGGAATATGAGGGAAATTCTTACATCAGTTGTTGAGATTTTTTTAAGACTTAAAATACCTTTAAAACACTGAATTTCTTTACTTCAAAAATTTTTTTCTATCCCACAGTGTTCATACAGAAAGTACTGAAAAGACTCTATCCTGAAACTTCATCATCTTCTCATGCTCATACTTCGAGTGGAGAAGAGGAGGTGTCTCACAGAAATTTAGGCTCAAAATCCCAAGAAAAGAATTGGGATGATGTTCAGACTTCATCAGCAAATGCTAGCACATCAACTGATACACCCTGCAAGTCATTTCAAGGTGAGACTGCATATTCCTTTTTCTGATAAGATGCTTTTATATATATTTACTTAAGAACAGCAAAATACATACGTTTTTCATCTATTGATACAAACAGACACCTTTGAATACAAGTGGTACTTAATACCTGAAACACTTGAGGTTCAGTGCCTAAGTCTATGAAAGTCAAGGAACAGTGTTAGCGTATATGTGTGAATGCAATGTTTACTAGCAGTTAATATGAAACTAATATGAAACAGTGTTAGCTATAACTGTCTTTGATATAATGTTTGAACACAGAGAGAATTACTTACGCTCATACAACTCTGCTCAGTTATTAAAGATACACCCAAAGATTTGTGGGAACACATGATTCAGCCCTTCTTGCTCTCATTTTGCAACAAAGACTGCATGGGGAACATGAACCCAACAGAAGACAAATATCCATTCAGGGCGATGTTAGTATCCTGCTCAAGAGCCTTGTTTCGTGTGTGTTTATGCAAGGAAAGTGGCACCTGAATGTTTTCACAGGTAGGTAAAATCCCTTTTTCAAGTGGATTGTACAATGTGGATGTTATGCTAAAAGATGGGGATGCAAAATGAGGTAGCTGTAATATTACTAGTGGGTGAAAGGGTCTGTGCTTAAGTATAGATGTGAGAATTGCTTTGTGTTGTAGCTCACCTAAAATCAAATTTTGCCATGGCTGAAAGAGGTTATTAAACTGACTTGAAATGAAAAGACATGTTTCCTGAGAGTATAAAAAGCTTTCTGTAGGGGAGCTGCTCAGCCAAACCTGTTACTAGCAATGCTGTCTCCCATAACATCCTCATTAGGAAAATGAGGGAGTATGGGCTAGATGAGCAAACAGTGAGGTGGATTGAGAGCTGGCTGTGTGACAGAACCCAGAGGGTTGTGATTAATGGAGCAGAGTCGAGTTGGAGGCCTGTAACCTGTGGTGTCCCCCAGGGGTCAATACTTGGTCTGGTCTTGTTCAACGTATTCATCAATGACCTGGATAAGGGGACAGAGTATGTCCTCATCAAGTTCACTGATGCTGGGCAGAGAAGAACCTAATGAGTTTCAACAGGGGGAAGTATAGGGTCTTGCACCTGGGGAGGAAGAACCCTATGCACCAATATAGGTTAGGGGTGGACCTGCTGGAGAGCAGTTCTGAGGAGAATGATCTGGGAGTCCTGGTAGATAGTAAATTACCTGTGAGCCTGCAATGTGCCCTTGCCACCAAGAAGGCCAATGGAATCCTGGGGTGCATAAGGAAGAGTGGGGCCAGTAAGTTGAGAGAGGTCATTCTCCCCCTCTGCTCTGCCCTGGTGAGGCCACATCTGGAATGCTGCATCCAGTTCTGAGCTCCCCAATTCAAGAGTGAGAAGGGACTACTAGAAAGAGTCCAGTGGTGGACAACAAAGATGACTGGGGCACTGGAACATCTCTTATGAGGAAAGGCTGAGAGAGCTGGGACTCATTAGCCTGGAGAAGAAAAGAGTGAGGGGAGACCTTATTAATGCCTGTAAGTATCTAAAGGGTGGGTGCAAGGAAGATGGAGCCAGACTCTTTTCAGTAGTTCCTGGTGTCAGTACGAGGGCCAACGGGCACAAGCTGGAACATTGGAAGTTCCATTTAAATATGTGAAAAAACTATCTTTTTGTTGTTAATGTATTTATAAAAACCTTTTTTGTTATCACTCACAGCAGAAGCCAGGTTGAGTTCTAGTCATGCTTTTGCCTTTCTGGTGTTTTCTCTGCATGACCTAGCTAGATCCCTGTACTCTTCTTGAGTTACCTGCCTTTTTTTTGAAGGTGGTAGACTGTCTTTTTTTTTTTTTTTTTTTTCCTGAGCCTTTTTAAGAGCTCCGTGTTCAGCCAGCTGGTCATCTTCCCTGACAGCTTGTTTTACGACATACAGGGACAGCCTGCCTCTGCACCTCTAAGACTTTATTCTTGAAGAACATCTAGCCTTCCTGGGCTTCTTTGCCTTCCAGGACTGTCTCCTGAGGGACACTCCCAACCAGTGTCCTCAAGTCTGAAGTCTGCCCTCCAGAAGTCCATGGTAGCATTTTTACTGAACTTCTTCCTTACTTCACCAAGAAAGAAGAGTTCTATAACTTAATGGTCACTAAGCCCAAGACAGCCTCTGACCACCATATCAGCCCCTAGTCTTTCCCTGTTTGTAAGCAGTAGGTCTAGCAAGGCATCTCCCCTGGTAGGCTTATTTACCAGCTGTGTCAGGAAGCTATCTTATATGTATGGACTGCCCTGGCTTTTAGTTGATCAAATTGATAAAGTGCATATGCTTGAGAAATTAAACTCTAGCAGTACCCAATGCATTAAACAGCTTTAGAGACTTGCTAGCAATTCAAATTCATTTTAGTTAGCTTCTTTTTAGTTACTTACTCTGAAAACAGCTGTCTATTGTGAATAAACTGAAGTGCAAGTGAGATAATTATTACATGACAGTGTTGTCACATACTCGTGCTTATCTCAGGGTTTTAAAAATTCTCTCATTACATATTATATTACAGTGGTGGTATACTCTGCAAATGGGACAGATATATCCAGAAGTGAGTAGAGTATTTGATTGAAGACCCCAGCCTCTGATGGCTATGGTAGAAATGGTGCCCAACCAGATTTACAAGTTCATAGCTATATGTTTGGTGGGAATATAGAGATCTGGGGCTTCTGACAAAAACAAAAAACAAGCCTGTCTCTGTTCAGACTCAGTGGGCTGCCTGTATAATATCTGTAATTTGTGTTGTGACAGAGACAGGTTTGTAGTTCATTTTCTTGTTCCCCTAGCAATGCCTTTTTTTTTTTTCTGTGTTGGCAGGTTCCTTCCTTTTCCAGTGTTCTTATGCATATGCATTGACTCATTCTTCTCTTCTACACCTTCATTTCAAACAACTTAGCTGCCATAGAGAAATCTACTGGCCTCTGTGACAACTAAAAACAAATTAACAAGTATAAGTATGTAGCTGTTACCTAATTGGACTAGAAAATGCCAGCTTTAATTGTAAGTGTAAGCAAGCTCAAAACTTAAATGTAGCCAACTGCAGGAAAACTAATTAGCTGGGGAAAAGAAAGAGAAAAATGGCTTGTGTAAGAAATTGGTAAAATGGGCTTGTTTCATCTACAGAAGGGCTGATAGTCCTGCCATGAACCTCCCCATAGCATGGTAATTGTGTGTTTTAGCACTCTCGCAGTACATCTTGTCTCCCTGTTGGAAATTATTTTTAATGTGTTGATGTCAGAAAAGGTTGTGTGAGATGCCTCCTCTACTCCCATGTACACTGCAGGCTTTGTTACTTTAAGCTGCCATTGTCGTAGGTGTTTTCTGCTGGTACACGTGGTTCCTGCTAGTCTTTCCTGCTATCTGTAGCCTCTAGCCATTATTTGAAAAGGGAAAATACTTACAGTGGGAACTTGGTACTGAACTAAGTTCAGGGCAAATTATTTTTCCATATATTTTGTGCTTTTGTGGTTTGCGTTATTTTTGTACACAAACAGGAATGGATTTTTACTGTTTAACAATCATAGAATAAAAAAATTCTGTGTTTTGGGGAAAAGTTTACACCTTAAACTTTTTTATTCTGATGAGCATATCTGTTTATTTCCTGATCTAGTTGTAGGTAGGTCTCAGTAATGACATAATCACTCAATCAGCAAGGGTAATTAAGTATTGCAACTTAGAGATGACATTTTAGATTCAATGGTGTTGCATTTATTTTAAAAAATATATATTGATTGACAGGGATGTATCTGGCATTTGAAAAGTGTGAATAAAGATCTGCAGCACTAGTAGAAAGAACTGAGCTGAGTACTGAACTTGACATTAATAGCTTTATTCTGCTGTTTATACAGCTAGAATTCTTAGACATCTAATCAGAATATTTCATATAATATTATACCAGGACATATGTGAGACATCGAGGCTTTCAAGTTCAATAACTTAATACTTAGCTGTATAGTTTGTTTCATCATTACCTCATACATTTAACTTTCAGGCAAAAAAAAAATAGCATGTACCAGTTTTGAACATAGCTATCTTATAATTTTAAAACCGCTATCTGCCTGTATTCAGGTTCTGCTCTGGCAAGTGTTCTGCTTCTTCATATACTCAAATCAAGGTTTTTCCCCTACTTCACTCTCTCTCTTTATTGTTCTTTGTTTTCATTACTTTTTCCAAGAGGATGTAGACTTTTTCAACAGTTGATAGGTAAAAATTCATTCTCTGTGAGAACAAGAGGAAGAAGGATTTCTGCTTTTTTAATGTTTTTTTTTTCTCTGTGACAAAAAATGTCACTTCAAATGTAATGAAACTGAGGCTGAGTTGTAATAGTAAGTCCTGTCTCCAATAAAATGGGCTATAATACAGCCTTTCTAGGTATCTACAAAATAAAAAATTAGAGTTATTTTCTGAGTAAGTGGTGGTAAGAGCTTTCTTGTTCCTTTTTTTTTATTTATTAATTTCCCATCCCAACCTTGGACCTTGGACCATCCATTGTAAAATGGATATATCTTTATTGACCTTAATTTCCTTAAGTTTTTTGTTCCCATCAAGCTGAAGGAAAAGACGCTAATTAGGATTGTGTCAAGGTTTCTTTTCCTTTTAATGCTTCTGAGCATCAAACCTCTTCTCTTCCTTCCTTTTCTCGCTTCTCTGAAAACTTTGTTAATGTAATGAGGTCTGTAAATTCCAAGTTTGACCATGTCACCTTGATAATTTTTCCAGTTATTCCACTGGAAATATTAACAGAAAGCAGAATGGTTTAAAGTGTGTTTTGTTTAAAACTTAGACAACCATGTCATTTTTTTATAAGCCACAAAAAAAAAAATGCTTGTAAGGAAGGAAAAGCAAAAGAAAACAGGATCTTGGTTGTTTGGGTTTTTTTCATTTGTATGGATATATAATGACCTGTGGCATGGTTTAAAATAGGAATAAAACCTTTATATTAGTTTTTATGTCAATTCTGGGCAAATAATTGCCACCAAAAAAACTGCACCCTAAT